GTGGCACCTGGAACTGGAACCACAGTGCCGGGCCTCAGTCTGGTCCGCTGGCATCCAGAACTGGAACCACAGTGCCGGGCCTCAGGCCGGTCCACTTGTGTCCAGAACCAGAAGCCCAGTATCGGGCCTCAGGCCAGAAACTACACAGCTGCTCCTCATGGATGGATTGTCAATAAAAACCTTTACAAAATGCCAGAGAACGTTTGTCTCGTTGCACGAAGAAGAGTTTATTATTCTTGTTCCCCAGTATACTGCTGCTGTGCCAGCATTCCCAGCAGACACGGGCTGTAGCACTGGTCTGTCAGCACAGCACACCCCTGTCTGACGCACTCCGGACAGAACCAGAGCTTCTCCGCTGTCGACAGCGAGTACAGGAGCACAGGAGTCGCTAGTCTGCGCGTTATTCTTCAAAACAGGGCAGAATTCACCAAATAAAAGTATCAATGAGTTATAAATATTATTAAATTACAGTATGAGTACTTTAATAATAGTTAATACTAAGTGTACGCATACACGATGTCATGTGGAATACGTATATATGTAAGATTACACCATACTTTATACATTTACCAAAAAATAACAGTCATGTACTGTACACTAATATGACACAAACACAGTATGTAAGAGATCCCAGGAAATGCAGACATACGAAAACCAAGAACACCTCGTGTACAACATCCCTTTCAAGAGGTCGCAGAGGCAGGAGGTATCAGTGCTACCCTAGAGTGCTGGGGTGTTTGTATACTTGAGTGCATTTTAAAAAAGCAGTGGTTTCACAAAATACACGAAAATTCTAACCACACATAGAAAAGCTCTGCAATATGCACAGATCATCAAGGAAAAGTAAATACCACAATTGTTTAAAATTCGGGAACAGCAATACTGCCCTATAGGGACAGGTCTGTTGCTTATGTTGGCTGATGTCTGTTTCGTACGCTATAGCGAATTTTATACAGGATATATTTATTACTCCTGAAATGGAGAGCTGGTCTATCAATGATAAAAACAGAGAGGATTGTCATTGGCTGTGTTTATTGCAAATGTTAAAAAATCAAAGGTTTCAAAATGGCACA